GTTCCAGGGGTGGATGCTGCCTCGGGGGTGGTGAACACCACAGACCAGGAAGTGGTAGGGGTGGAGCCCCAGTCCCCATGCCCAGCCGGATGGCATCAGAATGGGCATCGCTGCTTCTCCTTCTACCCCGTCTGGGCCACCTGGTCCACAGCAGAGGTAACACTTGTAATAGGGAGAGACAGAGAAACTAAAGGCCAACTTGTAGTAGAGTTGGTTAGGCATTGATTTAGGGCAATTCCATGGTAATAGAATGATGCTAAAATCAGGCGCACATTTAATTCAGGAAATGTCATTTTCTAGCTTGCGTTGATCTTAGCTCCCCGAGGTAATGCCGGGGCTTTAGCTCAGCGGGCTAACACAGTGTTCTCTGACTGTCCCTCCAGTCGTACTGCTCCCAGCACGGAGGGAATCTAGTGTCGGTTCACAGCCCGGGTCAACAGGTGTTTGTCCAGGACCTGGTCAGGAGACACACAGACCAGCCGGTCTGGATGGGAGGCTACGACGCAGCTCAGGTACACTGGGTTAATCAGTCAGTCAGTCAGTCAAATGTTTAGTAATGTCTACAGGTTACACAGGTAAAATCTCAACATACTTTTGGTTTAAAAACAAAAAGAAGTGGTTTCAATCCATTAATCAATCAATCAATCAATGTTTTCCTGTGATTAGGAGGGGATGTGGCTGTGGAGTGACGGCTCAGCTGTTGACCATTTTTACTGGGAGGAGGATGAGCCCAGTAACTCTGGACAGGGGGAGAACTGTATGGAGCTACACACTGGAGGTGCACACACACACACACACTCTCTCTCTCTCTCTCTCTCTCTCTCTCTCTCTCTCTCTCTCTCTCTCTCTCTCTCTCTCTCTCTCTCTCTCTTCTCTCTCTCTCTCTCTCTCTCTCTCTCGACATTGAAATAATTGAAGTGTTGTTGGTTGTTGCCTTGGTAACAGCTGGGCAGGGATGGAATGACGTGTCCTGTGGAGAGCTGAGGTTCTACGTGTGTTCGATGGAGACAAGGTAGCAGGATAATACTGTCTTGTACCTGGCCACGTTTTTGCAGAGACCACATTAACAGTAAATTACATTCATGTCTTTTTTTTTTCATGTTCTTTTAGATCTGGTTTAGCAGCATTAGCAAGTCAGAAGCAAGCACACGAGAGAGGTAGGTGTGTCTAGGACCATTGCTATTCATTGTAAAGCTATCAGCTATTTTGACCACTTTCCCCAGCAGCTTCGGCAAAAACGTGGAGCACTCTGCCATAAAGATGACAGCTGTCTGATGTTTAATGGCACTTGAGAACGCTACGCCATTCAAACTTTAAAACGTGTAGACAGGTCTGAAATTGTTTTTAAACTATTAAGCTTTTCATCCTCCTAGAAAACCTCATCCACTTTAATGGGATATCTTCAACATTCTAAAGATGCCATTATTTAAATCTCCCATGTTAAAAACTGACTTCCAACGTTCTATTCACTGTAAACAATGTGACTTTTGACACCAATCAGCTATCAGCTATTTTGACCACTTTTCCCAGCAGCTTCTGCAAAAACGTAGAGCATATTTTTTAGTCCACTTCTCTTCTATTCAAACCTAACATTATAACACAGAAATAACTTCTACCAATCAAACTATACAGCTGTTTTGGTAACTGCATCAGCTACTTTAATGTAGCTAACTTCCCACTGTTGAAGTAAGTGCCATATAACGTTTAGAATGTTCTAATTGTAGCACTGTGGAAGCATGTCACACTGATTATACCACACAGCTCACTCTAACCCACTAACCTTACCCTCTATAACAACCCCCACGCTAGCCACGCTACGATAGCGACCCCACTTACTATAGCTAACCCATGACCTACCTATCTAAAATAGCCTGGGCTATTTACTACTACTACTACAACCCACTGACGGCTACCATCAACTAGTTTTACAACGGTCACTCCCTCTACTAAACCAGCCTACAAAATGTAACACTAACAAACTTCTAAACTACTTTCACTAGGTGCACCGTCTGTATTTCTGATCAATTTGATGTTATTTTAATGGACAAAAAAATTGCTTTTCTTTCGAAAACAAGGACATTTCTAAGTGACCCCAAACTTTTTAACGGTTGTGTATTTTGATTTGTTGAACAAAGGTCCATGAAGGTCAGCATCCCGGAATCGCCTCTTCACTGTTGACGTTGAGACTGGTGTTTTGCGGGTACTATTTAATGAAGCTGCCAGTTGAGGACCTTTGAGGCGTCTGTTTCTCAAACTAGACACTCTAATGTATTTGTCCTCTTGCTCAGTTGTGCACTGGGGCCTCCCACTCCTCTTTCTATTCTGGTTAGTGTTCTGTGAAGGGAGTAGTACACAGCATTGTACGAGATCTTCAGTTTCTTGGCAGTTTCTTGCATGGAATAGCCTTCATTTCTCAGAACAAGAATAGACAGACGAGTTTCAGAAGAAAGTAGGTAGGGAGGCAGGTAGCTTAGTGGTTAAGAGCGTAGTGCCAGTAACCGAAAGGTCGCTGGTTCTAATCCCCGAGCTGACTAGGTGAAAAATCTGTCTGTGCCCTTGAGCAAGGCACTTAACCCTAATTGCTCCTGTAAGTCGCTCTGGTTAAGAGTGTCTGCTAAATGACTTAAATGTTTCTGGCCATTTTGAGCCTGTAATCGAACCCACAATTGCTAATGCTCCAGATACTCAACTAGTCTCAAGAAGGCCAGTTTTATTGCTTTATTGCCTGGAAGAGTTCAAATAGAATTTGGAATAGTTTTGGGGAAATTAAGACATATTTCACAATCCTTGATGCAAAAAATAAATGTATTGTTCCGATATCATTACAACAAACGTTACCAGTCAAACGCTTGGACACACCTCCTCATTCAAGGGTTTTTCTTTATTTTTACTATTTTCTATATTGTAGATTAATAGTGAAGACATCAAAACTATGAAATAACACATATGGAATAATGTAGTAACCAAAAAAGTGTTAAACAAATCAAAATATATTTTATATTTGAGATTCTTCAAATAGCCACCCTTTGCCTTGATGACAGCTTTGCACACTCTTGGCATTCTCTCAACCAGCTTCATGAGGAATGCTTTTCCAACAGTCCTGAAGGAGTTCCCACATATGCTGAGCACTTGTTGGCTGCTTTTCCTTCACTCTGCGGTCCGACTCATCCCAAACCATCTCAATTGGGTTGAGGTCGGGTGATTGTGGAGGCCAGGTCATCTGATGCAGCACTCCATCACTCTCCTTCTTGGTCAAATAGCCCTTAGACAGAGAATGCCAAGAGTGTGCAAAGCTGTCATCAAGGCAAAGGGTGGCTACTTAAAAGAATCTCAAATTTAAAATATGATTAATATTTGTTTAACAATTTTGGGGTTACTATATGTGTTATTTCATAGTTTTGATATCTTCACTTATTCTACAATGTAGATTTCTCTTTGCTTATTTGAGCTGTTCTTGCCATAATATGGACTTGGTCTTTTACTAAATAGGGCTATCTTCTGTATACCAACCCTACCTTGTCACAACACAACTGATTGGTTCAAACGCATTAAGAAGGAAATAAATTCCACAAATTAACTTTTAACAAGGCACACCTGTTAATTGAAATGCATTCCAGGTGACTACCTCATGAAGCTGGTTGAGAGAATACCAAGAGTGTGCAAAGCTGTCATCAAGGCAAAGGGTGGCTACTTTAAAGAATTTCAAATTTAAAATATATTTTGATTTGTTTAACACTTTTTTGGTTACTGAATGATTCCATATGTGTTATTTCATAGTTTTGATGTCTTCACTATTGTTCTACAATGTAGAAAATAGTTTAGAAAAAGAAAAACCCTTGAATGAGTAGGTTTGTCCAAGCTTGTGACTGGTTCTGTAGGTGTACTGTAATCAAATGAAACAAATTAAATGAATGAAAGAAACATAATGTTTAGCAGGCGCTAGTTTGCATCAAGCCTGTCTGGAGCATTTTGCCATAGGTTCTCATCGACATCACAGTAAATGTCTTCATTGTTCATGCACCTGGGGAAAAACCTTTTTGGCATGTCAAATCCAAGCCTGACATAGTTCTGGATTGATGTCATTGCATGCCTCATCCATGGCCTGAAGGTGGGCGGTATGCTCATGGGGATGGCGATCATACATCTTCCACCTGTATTGTAATCATGTATTGTATTGCGCTCATATATTGTAGTGTCTTGTGTGGCTCAATTAGTATTAGAGCATGGCACTAGCAACACCAGAGTTGTGGGTCTGATTCCCGCTGGGGTCACATTCGAAAATGTGTAGACTCACTGCTGTGACTTGGGATAAAAACTCCTGCTACATAAAAGGTATATTAGGGTAATAGTAAAATGTATTTTAACAAATGAGAAGAGAATCATATCGAAAGAAATGTGAGCGTTGCACTGTGAAAAACAATTACTTCATATTGCAATGTGAAACATGTATTTTCTAGATGAAACACTGATTAAGTTTGGGTGTAAAAGTGACTGTATGACTTTGTGTGTTGTAATAGTCAATAGAAAATGTGTTTAGAGTTTTGAAACGGCTGCCTTTTTGATTATCTGTTTTGAGTTTTGTACTAAGAGTTGCTAAAATGTAACACATACTTGTGAAAACTGCACCAAAGCAAATTTTTTATTTATTTTTTCATCCCCCCCAGAACTGGTTGAAGAGGTGAGTATTTATGACGTCCTGTGGGAGACCAGTGAGAGAGTAGCAGATGAGACCCTCTACTCAGCCTTCCTCAGAGGGATGTATTCCAGACGTCTGCCTGCCCGCTGCTACGCTGACTTCTGCCACCAGGAGGTGCTATACCTGGACAGAGTCATCACCATGCTGCAGGTGAAAGGAAAATACATTAAATAAAACGAATACCGTAAAGTTTTACTTTCTATGACTGTGATACGTGGTTGTCGTCCCTAGCTATCTTAAGATAAGTTGCTCTGGATAACAGTGTCTGCTAAATGTGTGTGTGAGTGCCAGGTGCTGATCAGAACAGTCCAGGGTCCCCCAGACATCATGCTGTTTCTCCAGACAACACATCAACGCTACCAGGAGTCTCTGAAGGAGGCCCAGAACCAAACTCCACCACACCTGGCAAGACGCTCTTATAACAACCTTAATATACAATTTAAGATATATCTTAATATACAATTTAAGATATATCTTAATATAAAATGTAAGGTATATCTTAATATACAATGTAAGAGGACGTATAGCAAGAAAAAACAACTGGAATGTCGTAGGTGATTTATCAATTAATCATTTAATAATCAATTAACCTTCCATTAACCTTTTCAATGAACCAGTAACCTTATTGAACCCTTTTTTTGTGTTGGTTAAATTCAAATTCTATTACTCAAGTTTTAGTGTATTTAGACACAAAACAGAATCAATAGTTTCAAGTTTCTGCTTTCTTTCCCCTTTTTTGATTCCCTTTAGTTCATTCAGTTCACGTCATAGTCTTTTATCATTACAATAATATTCCCTTTAGTTCATTCAGTTCACTTCATAGTATTTTAGCATTCAAATAATTATCCCTTTAGTTCATTCAGTTCAGTTCATAGTCTTTTATCATTCAAATAATATTTCCCTAAATTGGCTTTTAGGGTGTCTATAGCAAGGTTTCCATCCAATTGGCGACAGGTTTTCATGTCAATATTCTAAAATCTTCATAAAAACAATATGCCATTTCAGAGTTTCCTTAAGGAAAATCTGGCACCGGACACATGACAGGGAAGATTTTAATTTACTGGGCATTTGAGAAATGTTACGGACATCCATATGCATTCAGATCCAACCTGGCGCAGCCAGCGCCATCAATAAACCAGGGATGTTGGCCAAATTAGCCACATTTACGTGCCCTTAAAAACAGCCTATAACAAATAACAAAAACACTATTCCTTTATAGCCTTTATATTTTTGAGGGGGTTTTAGGCTACTTTCCTAAAACAATAATTGTCCACCTCACGGTTCAGCTGTCAGAGATTTGAGCACTAAACATATCAGGGCATTGCATGTATAGGGCTATGGGCTTAGGTGTCCACTGTATGATATTCATATTTTAATTAATATAAACAGTACCAGTCAAAAGTTTGGACACACCTACGCATTCAAGGGTTTTTCTTTATTTTTTACTATTTTCTACATTGTAGAATAATAGTGAAGACATCAAAACTATGAAATAACACATATGGAATCATGTAGTAACCAAAAAAGTGTTAAACAAATCAAAATATATGTTATATTTGAGATTCTTCAAAGTAGCCACCCTTTGCCTTGATGATAGCTTTGCACACTCTTGGCATTCTCTCAACCAGCTTCACCTGGAATGCTTTTCCCACAGTCTTGAAGGAGTTCCCGCATATGCTGAGCACTTGTTGGCTGCTTTTCCTTCACTCTGAGTTCCAACTCATCCCAAACCATCTCAATTGGGTTGAGGTCGGGTGATTGTGGAGGCCAGGTCATCTGATGCAGCATTCCATCACTCTCCTTCTTGGTCAAATAGCCCTTACACAGCCTGGAGGTGTGTTGGGTCATTGTCCTGTTGAAAAACAAATGATAGTCCCACTAAGCCCAAACCAGATGGGATGGCATATCACTGCAGAATGCTGTGGTAGCCATGCTGGTTAAATGTGCCTTGAATTCTAAATAAATCACAGACAGTGTCACCAGCAAAGCACCCCCACACATCACACCTCCTCCTCCATGCTTCACGGTGGGAACCACACATGCAGAGATCAAAGACATGGCGGTTGGAACCAAAAATCTCACATTTGGACTGATTTCCACCGGTCTAATGTCCATTGCTCGTGTTTCTTGGCACAAGCAAGTCTCTTCTTATTATTGGTGTCCTTTAGTAGTGGCTTCTTTTTTTTTGGGGGGGGGGGGGGGGGGGGGGTTATCTAAAATGGTTAAGATTAGGGTTAGGGGAAGGGTTAGCTAACATGCTAAGTAGTTGCAAAGTAGCAATAAATTAGTAAGTAGTTGAAAAGTTGCTAATTAGCTAAAATGCTAAAGTTGTCCGCGATGAGATTCGAACTCGCAACCTTTGGGTTTCTAGACGTTCGCATTATACGCCCATCCATCCACCCCGACCAACTACCCTACTTTCATTTTTTGCCATAAGTAACCATCCTTCTTATGTAACCATACCAAATGTAACATATACTAATTTGAGTGTCCCGGATTTACGTCTAGTCTGTGAGACCAGGCTGTCCACACGACTGAGAATTTAGGCAATGGTTGGTTTGGCTTTTATATGAGGTCCCAAATTGTAGAATAAAAGGCCTAGAATTTGCAATGTCCAGTAAATTTGAAGTGGAAGACAGACAAAGAAAGAGGCCACCACAGTGTTTGCGCTATTGTGTGTGTGCAAGATCTTAGATTTCAAAACCTCAGCAGAGGAGAACAATAGCTGCTTGCAAATCAAGGTAGGTCAGAGTACGTTAAACAGGAAAATCTCCTCATGTTTGCTAAATTAAACACACGGAAACGTTAAACAGGAAAAGTTCCTGGCATTTGACTGAATACAGCACCTTGAAGGAATGCCTGCTGTTATTTGACTGAATACAGCACCTTGAAGGAATGCCTGCTGTTATTTGACTGAATACAGCACCTTGAAGGAATGCCTGCTGTTATTTGACTGAATACAGCACCTTGAAGGAATGCCTGCTGTTATTTGACTGAATACAGCACCTTGGAGGAATGCCTGCTGTTATTTGACTGAATACAGCACCTTGGAGGAATGCCTGCTGTTATTTGACTGAATACAGCACCTTGGAGGAATTCCTGCTGTTATTTGATCTGAATACAGCACCTTGAAGGAATGCCTGCTGTTATTTGACTGAATACAGCACCTTGAAGGAATGCCTGCTGTTATTTGACTGAATACAGCACCTTGGAGGAATGCCTGCTGTTATTGATGAATCAGCACCTTGAAGGATGCCTGCTGTATTTGACTGAATACAGCACCTTGAAGGAATGCCTGCTGTTATTTGACTGAATACAGCACCTTGAAGGAATGCCTGCTGTTATTTGACTGAATACAGCACTTGAAGGAATGCCTGCTGTTATTTGACTGAATACAGCACCTTGAAGGAATGCCTGCTGTTATTTGACTGAATACAGCACCTTGAAGGAATGCCTGCTGTTATTTGACTGAATACAGCACCTTGAAGGAATGCCTGCTGTTATTTGACTGAATACAGCACCTTGAAGGAATGCCTGCTGTTATTTGACTGAATACAGCACCTTGAAGGAATGCCTGCTGTTATTTGATCTGAAGTCAGTCAGCCTAATGTACAATGCAAGATTAAGATTACGATCACATTATTGGTCAATTGCACACAATGTCCAACCGAAATGTGACTTCCGCTTTTAACCCAACACCTCTGAAAGACACACATACAAACACATACATATACAGGTGTGTATGTAATGTACAACGCCAGCCTAATGTAAAACATAAATAATGTACAACAGACATCCAACCTACATTCCTGAGTCTTGTAGCTAGATTTGTAAGAATATGATTTTAAGAATCCTTTTCTTTTGTATCCAGCAGCGCAAGCAACAAATACAGTACAGCAGAAAAGCTCCCTAAAAAGGTGCTATCTAGAACCTAAAAGGGTTATTCGGCTGTCCCCATGGGAGAACCCCTTGAAGACCCTTTTTGGTTCCAGGCAGAACCCCACTGGGCTCCATGCAGAACCCTTTCCCCAGAGGGTTCTACATGGAACCCAAAAGAGTTCCACCCGAAACCAAAAAGGGTTCTACCTGAAACCAAAAAAGGGTTCTCCTATGGGGACAGCCGAAGAACGCCTTAATTATATTTTTGTCAAAATTACTAAGACTAGACTAAATATTTAAAAAAGAGTGCCAAAATTAACACTGGTACAGCAGTAGTTATATAGGATGAGCCTTGACTAGAATACAGTATACATATGAAGTGGACAGCAGTAGTTACATAGGATAGGCCTTGACTAGAATGCGGTATATATATATAAAATGGGTAAAACAGTATATAAACATTATTACAGTGACCAGTGTTGAATGACTCTATGTACATAGGGCAGCAGTCTCTAAGGTGCAGGTTATAGACTACTGGCTGTTAGCCGGCTAGTAGCAGTGACTAAGTAACAAGCTCTCTGCTACCTACAGAACCTCCGCATCTCAGCAGGCCACAGAGTAAAACACCTGTCTCTCCTCTGATACCTAATACCTGTCTCCTCCTCTGATACCTAATACCTGTCTCTCCTCTGATACCTAATACCTGTCTCCTCCTCTGATACCTAATACCTGTCTCCTCCTCTGATACCTAATACCTGTCTCTCCTCTGATACCTAATACCTGTCTCTCCTCTGATACCTAATACCTGTCTCTCCTCTGATACCTAATACCTGTCTCTCCTCTGATACCTAATACCTGTCTCCTCCTCTGATACCTAATACCTGTCTCCTCCTCTGATACCTAATACCTGTCTCTCCTCTGATACCTAATACCTGTCTCTCCTCTGATACCTAATACCTGTCTCTCCTCTGATACCTAATACCTGTCTCTCCTCTGATACCTAATACCGTCTCTCCTCTGATACCTAATACCTGTCTCTCCTCTGATACCTAATACCTGTCTCTCCTCTGATACCTAATACCTGTCTCCTCCTCTGAATAACCTAATACCTGTCTCTCCTCTGATACCTAATACCTGTCTCCTCCTCTGATACCTAATACCTGTCTCTCCTTGATACCTAATACCTGTCTCTCCTCTGATACCTAATACCTGTCTCTCCTCTGATACCTAATACCTGTCTCTCCTCTGATACCTAATACCTGTCTCTCTCTGATACCTAATACCTGTCTCCTCCTCTGATACCTAATACCTGTCTCTCCTCTGATACCTAATACCTGTCTCCTCCTCTGATACCTAATACCTGTCTTCCTCTGATACCTAATACCTGTCTCTCCTCTGATACCTAATACCTGTCTCTCTCTCTGATACCTAATACCTGTCTCCTCCTCTGATACCTAATACCTGTCTCTCCTCTGATACCTAATACCTGTCTCTCCTCTGATACCTAATACCTGTCTCTCCTCTGATACCTAATACCTGTCTCTCCTCTGATACCTAATACCTGTCTCTCCTCTGATACCTAATACCTGTCTCTCCTCTGATACCTAATACCTGTCTCCTCCTCTGATACCTAATACCTGTCTCTCCTCTGATACCTAATACCTGTCTCTCCTCTGATACCTAATACCTGTCTCTCCTCTGATACCTAATACCTGTCTCTCCTCTGATACCTAATACCTGTCTCTCCTCTGATACCTAATACCTGTCTCTCCTCTGATACCTAATACCTGTCTCTCCTCTGATACCTAATACCTGTCTCTCCTCTGATACCTAATACCCTGTCTCTCCTCTGATACCTAATACCTGTCTCTCCTCTGATACCTAATACCTGTCTCTCCTCTGATACCTAATACCTGTCTCTCCTCTGATACCTAATACCTGTCTCTCCTCTGATACCTAATACCTGTCTCTCCTCTGATACCTAATACCTGTCTCTCCTCTGATACCTAAATACCTGTCTCTCCTCTGATACCTAATACCTGTCTCCTCCTCTGATACCTAATACCTGTCTCTCCTCTGATACCTAATACCTGTCTCTCCTCTGATACCTAATACCTGTCTCCTCCTCTGATACCTAATACCTGTCTCTCCTCTGATACCTAATACCTGTCTCCTCCTCTGATACCTAATACCTGTCTCTCCTCTGATACCTAATACCTGTCTCTCCTCTGATACCTAATACCTGTCTCCTCCTCTTGGTTTATGCCAAGATGGCGCCAATGGAGAAGGATGACATCTTTCGAGTTCCAACCCAACTTTGCAGTCACTTTACCCTGCCTTCATGTACAAATCTACCTCAAATACCTCCTATCCCTGCACATTGGGCTCCCGAGTGGCGCAGCGGTCTAAGGCACTACATCTCAGTGCTTGAGGCGTCACTACAGACCCCCCTGGTTTGATTCCAGGCTGTATCACAACCGGCCCGTGATTGGGAGTCCCATAGGGCGGCGCACAATTGGCCCAGCGTTGTCCGGGTTTGGCCGGTGTAGGCCGTCATTGTAAATAAGAATTTGTTCTTAACTGACTTGCCTAGTTAAATAAAGGTTAAATAAACAACATTGATCTGATAGTCCCTATATATAGCTCCATTCTTGTGTACATTATTTTATTCCTTTTGTTACTTTTATTTGTATTATTATTTTAAAACTCTGCATTGTTGGGAAGGGCTCGTAAGCAAGCATTTCATTGTAAAGTCTACACCAGTTGTATTCAGCGCATGTGACAAATAAAATGTAATTTGATTTTCCTCCTCCTCCTCCTCTATCTCCATCTCCTCCTCTTCCTCCTCCATCTCCTCCTCCTCCTCCTCCTCCATCTCCTCTATCTCCTCCATCTCCTCCTCTTCCATCTCCTCTTCCTCCTCCTCCTCCTCCTCCATCTCCTCTATCTCCTCCATCTCCTACTCCTCCTCCATCTCCTACTCCTCCTCCATCTCCTCCATCTCCTCCTCCTCTATCTCCATCTCCTCCTCTTCCATCTCCTCCTCCTCCATCTCCTCCTCTATCTCGTCCTCTTTCTCCTCCATCTCTTTCTCCTCCATCTCTTCCTCCTCCTCCTCCTCCTCCTCCTCCTCCTCCTCCTGCCTACAGAACCTGTCCTCCATCCAGCCCTCTGCAGCCGTGCGTCAGTACCTCCAGAGCTTCCATGACATTGTGCATGAGGAGCCCATCTACTGGCTGGTGTCTCTGCTGCCCAGAGCCCTGCTCAGACCTTACCTGGCACAGCACCTGCCCCTGGGAGAGAGGACCAGACCAGGCCCCAGCCCCTGCCTGTACCCAAGGCTAAACCTCTTCCCCTGCCCCTGCTACCAGTGGGGGGGAGAGGACATGAAGTCAGACCAGTCAGACCAGAGGAACCAGAAGGACAAGTCAGGGACATATTACAGGTATCTTGAGGATATTATAATGTATTACAACTGATACAATATAATGTATACTGATTGATATTGATGATGTAATGTATGCTGATTGATATTGATGACATTGATTGCCTATGGAGGTTTATAACGTCTCAACTCCACATTGTTGTGTTTAATCTAGTGTGGTAATATTGTGGAGTGACACTTTTCTAACCTGTCTCTCTCTCCAGGCCTCTACTGGAGAAGTACCAGGATGTGATAGACGTCTATAAGGCTGTCAACATCTTCAGAGTCCAGATGATCAACGAGAAGGCTCTCTTCACCTCCAGGTAAAGTTAGCCTAACTTAGGTATGCAGTTAGCCTGGTCCTGCTAACTAAGTCTACAGTTAGCCTGGTCCTGCTAACTAAGTCTACAGTTAGCCTGGTCCTGCTAACTAAGTCTACAGTTAGCATGGTCATGCTAACTAAGTATACAGTTAGCCAGGTCCTGTTATCTTAGTATACAGTTAGTCTGGTCCTGCTAACTAAGTCTACAGTTAGCCTGGTCCTGTTATCTTAGTATACAGTTAGCCAGGTCCTGTTATCTTAGTATACAGTTAGTCTGGTCCTGCTAACTAAGTCTACAGTTAGCCTGGTCCTGCTAACTAAGTCTACAGTTAGCCAGGTCCTGAAATCTTAGTATACAGTTAGCCTGGTCATGCTAACTAAGTCTACAGTTAGCCAGGTCCTGTTATCTTAGTGTACAGTTAGCCAGGTCCTGCTAACTACTGTAAGTCTACAGTTAGCCTGGTCCTGCTAACCAAGTCTTGCCAAGTCTCCCTCGCAAAACAGGCTGTCAACCCTATGGGATCTTCTTAGCCTGGGTACCAGTCTATTTTGTGATAACATTCTACTCCTTGCCACTCCTTGTCATGCCAAACATCATGAGTACAAGAAGTGGAATCACAACTAGCACATTTTGTTTCTTGGAATTCATTCAGGATTATCCGTAACCATGGTAGCATCCACATTAATGTAGAAGTGTTTAGAAACATATTATATACTTATTTACAATAAAAGTGACTCCAAAATTTCACAATACATTATTTACCATACTTTTCTACTGGGCACAAAATCATCAGAAACACAACCAAAACAGAGAACACATCCAATTTGTAGAGTCACAAGCTTGATGTAGTCATTGCGTGCTATGAATATGGGACCAAATACAGTTGAAGTCGGAAGTTTACATACACCTTAGCCAAATACATTTAAACTCAGTTTTTCACAATTCCTGACATTTAATCCTAGTAAAAATTCCCTGTTTTAGGTCAGTTAGGATCACCACTTTATTTTAAGAATGTGAAATGTCAGAATAATAGTATAGATAATTATTTATTTCAGCTTTTATTTCTTTCATCACATTCCCAGTGGGTCAGAAGTTTACATACACTCAATTAGTATTTGGTAGCATTGCCTTTAAATTGTTTAACTTGGGTCAAACGTTTCTGGTAGATCTTCCACAAGCTTCCCACAATAAGTTGGGTGAATTTTGGCCCATTCCTCCTGACAGAGCTGGTGTAACTGAGTCAGGTTTGTAGGCCTCCTTGCTCACCCACGCTTTTTCAGTTCTGCCAACACATTTTCTATAGGATTGAGGTCAGGGCTTTGTGATGGCCACTCCAATACCTTGACTTTATTGTCCTTAAACCATTTTGCCACAACTTTGGAAGTATGCTTGGGATCATTGTCCATTTGGAAGACCCATTTGCATTTGAATATGGGACCAAATATTACACTTTATACTACTTTAATACACGTACAAGTGAATTTGTCCCAGTACTTTTGCTCCACTAAAATGGGGACTATGTACATAAAGTGCTGTTATTTCTAAATGGTTCACCTGATACGGATGAAAATACCCTAAAATGAAAGCTGACAGTCTGCACTTTAACATCATAGTCATGGTTAGATTTCAAATCCAAACTTTTGGAGTATAGAGCCAAAAGAGGACAAAATGCTTCACTGTCCCAGTAATTACGAAGGGCACTGTAATTCATATCATAGTACTGTAGTACTGTTTTTACTTGCACACAATATAGCTGGATTGCCCCATCCTGCCCCTAGGGGTCCACCAACCTTCCAATTAATGGCAATGCATTTCTTAGCCACTATAAATGCTAGGTTACACAGTTATCTTCTGATAACAGTCTCCAGTATTAACATTTCCAAGCAAACAAAAACAGGGAGAAGGGAGAATCTGTAGACATGCGGAGATAAAATAACATACTCTTTGCCAGAATTCAGCCAGCCTTCACGAGACCATAAGATATGCAAATAAGTCCCCTTTTGTGTTTTACACCTCCAGCAGAGGAATGACATTTCTGAGTGCATGATATTCAGTTTCACTGGCATATAAAACATTCTATGGATGGTCTTAAACTTCAGTAATTTATGTCTGAGATGATATGAACATGACTGGGCATTCAAACATATCTGTATCCATTCATCATCATCAATAGCTTCTACCAGGTCTTCCTCACATTTTTATTTTACATGTTTTGTGTCATCGGGAAAAGCCTCTATCAACCCTTGATACAGTTTGGAAATCAATTTTAGAGGTTTGTCAGACTGCCTTAAAAAAGCATCTGGCTTGTCCAGTGTTTGCTGCACAGAGAGAATAAAGTGTTGTATCTGCAACGATTCACCTCAGCTCCATCACAGACTGGTCTTCCCTGGCTCCTCAGCTCCATCACAGACTGGTCTTCCCTGGCTGCCTGATCCTGCTGAAACACCTGTCACCATCTGATCCTGCTCAGATGAGGCAAGACAAATAATTACCTTGGTGTACATTTATACATTATATTAGCCAAGAATGGAAACAATGGTTCAATAATTGAAATGACCATTATTCCCAGATCCCAGTCTGTAGCCTACCCATCAACTCAAGATGGAACTTTGTATCCATTCACTGATTGTTATAATACACTGCAAAATTCACCTGATCTCCGTAGGCTGGTCTTCCCTGGCTGTCTGACCCTGCTGGGACACCGGTCACCATCTGATCCTGCTAAGACATGATGATCATAGTGTTGTGTACTGACTGTGCACCATGACAGTGAAGCCTGAAGAGCTGTTTATACTGTGTCCGTGTGAAAAGTAGGGGATTAGATAGGGAAACTGACAGATCAATAATGTTACATTGCAGATCAATAACGTTACATTGGAGATCAATAACGTTACATTGCAGATCAATAACGTTACATTGGAGATCAATAATGTAACATTACTACAGTATACTGATAAAAACTCACATTGTCAAACAACATCAGAATATTGGTCTTCTATCATTTGGCCGCTTGTTTCATCATTTGATTCAGGTCTACTAGTGTGATTGAGGCTAAAATAATAGCTATTGTTAGCCAACTTTTGGCTAGCTCTAATGGTACATCAACAGGCGAAAATGAGCCAAGTTCATTTACTTCTGTTGAAACGGGACAAAACAAGGCTACAGAACATTTCCATAAACACAACAGCTGTTAGATACTGCTACCTGACAGATAGCTAGAGGCTAGAGCTGAACTGGCTGTGGTAGCTACTAGCTAGATAGCTAGAGGCTAGAGCTGAACTGGCTGTGGTAGCTACTAGCTAGATAGCTAGAGGCTAGAGCTGAACTGGCTGTGGTAGCTACTAGCTAGATAGCTAGAGGCTAGAGCTGAACTGGCTGTGGTAGCTACTAGCTAGATAGCTAGAGGCTAGAGCTGAACTGGCTGTGGTAGCTACTAGCTAGATAGCTAGAGGCTAGAGCTGAACTGGCTGTGGTAGCTACTAGCTAGATAGCTAGAGGCTAGAGCTGAACTGGCTGTGGTAGCTACTAGCTAGATAGCTAGAGGCTAGAGCTGAACTGGCTGTGGTAGCTACTAGCTAGATAGCTAGAGGCTAGCGCTGAACTGGCTGTGGTAGCTACTAGCTAGATAGCTAGAGGCTAGAGCTGAACTGGCTGTGGTAGCTACTAGCTAGATAGCTAGAGGCTAGAGCTGAACTGGCTGTGGTAGCTACTAGCTAGATAGCTAGAGGCTAGAGCTGAACTGGCTGTGGTAGCTACTAGCTAGATAGCTAGAGGCTAGAGCTGAACTGGCTGTGGTAGCTACTAGCTAGATAGCTAGAGGCTAGAGATGAACTGGCTGTGGTAGCTACTAGCTAGATAGCTAGAGGCTAGAGCTGAACTGGCTGTGGTAGCTACTAGCTAGATAGCTAGAGGCTAGAGCTGAACTGGCTGTGGTAGCTACTAGCTAGATAGCTAGAGGCTAGAGCTGAACTGGCTGTGGTAGCTACTAGCTAGATAGCTAGAGGCTAGAGCTGAACTGGCTGTGGTAGCTACTAGCTAGATAGCTAGAGGCTAGAGCTGAACTGGCTGTGGTAGCTACTAGCCAGATAGCTAGAGGCTAGAGCTGAACTGGCTGTGGTAGCTACTAGCTAGATAGCTAGAGCTGAACTGGCTGTGGTAGCTACTAGCTAGATAGCTAGCTAGTTCATTCACTTCAGACAGAACTTCAGTCGAGAGGGGATGAAACATTAGCAAACGTTACATGTCAGTTACACTACCACTACTAGCTCAGCACTGGGGAATTGTTGTTGTTAAGTCAAACAGCAGTTACCTTGCCAGCTACATCAGTCAAATAAAGAGTAGCCAGTACCTGCTCTACAATTTATTTTTTTTTTTTGTCATTTAGCAGACGCTCTTATCCAGAGCGACTTACAGGAGCAATTAGGGTTAAGTGCCTTGCTCAAGGGCACATCGACAGATTTTTCACCTAGTCGGCTTGGGGATTAGAACCAGCGACCTTTCGGTTACTGGCACAACGCTCTTAACCACTAAGCTACCTGCCGCCCCAACTCAGAGAAACAGCACAACACACACAGACAACAGCTGGCTCTGTTCGCACGCTCTGTGGTGTCGGCGCGGTCCTAAATCCAGCTGGATGAAACCACCAAACAGCCTACCTGACCGCTCTGAGGCATCCGCATGGTCCTAAAGCAAACCGATGCCCCTTTTGTATCACAGTGCAATTATAAAACTGGGGGGGACAAAAATGCAATTTCAGAATTTGGTGAAAGTCCCACCCCTGGATAGGACACATGGCATTAATCACACATTTATTTTGTATTGTGACACGGCATCAGGGAGCTTCCAGCCTAGAATCCTGTATGGATCAGTTGGTAGAGCATGGCGCTTGCAACGCCAGGGTAGTGGGTTCGAACCCCGAGACCGCCCACATGTAAAATGTATGCACGCATGACGGTAAGTAAAGTGGCTGATAAATGGCACAGTATTAATATTATTATTGGGTTGTTGGTTGGTTTGTTTATAGGGATGGGGGGGGGGGGGGTGGAAAGAGGAGGGTGAGAGGATACAGTAGTGAGTATGGTGTGGCGTGATGCAAATATGGTATGGAAAAATGAAATGAATTATGATGTATGGTTTTTGTACGATTTTAATAAAAACCTTTAAATTAGAATTAAAAAAAAAAGATATATCCTTAAAATTCCTTAAAATGTAGTGAGAATGTTCCAAAGCCAAGAAACTATCCTGAACAATCCCCAGAAAGTTGTGGAAAGGTTGTAGGCAAAATAACCACAGGACAACCATGCTCCCATCAAGCTCTAAGGAAAAATGGATCTCTCAGAACGTTATGTGCTAGCTGGGATATTAGCACAAAACAGGTCTGGATTTCAGGCTAGGAACTGAAATAAAAGTAACGCTAAAACACTACAGTAGAACATGGGTATCGCATTAACCAGGTGATCTCTGTATTAATGTTAAATGTCTCTGTGATGTTCATCTCTGTATTAATGTTAAATGTCTCTGTGATGTTCATCTCTGTATTAATGTTAAATGTCTCTGTGATGTTCATCTCTGTATTCATGTTAAATGTCTCTGTGATGTTCATCTCTGTATTAATGTTAAATGTCTCTGTGATGTTCATCTCTGTATTAATGTTAAATGTCTCTGTGATGTTCATTTCTGTGATGTTAAATGTCTCTGTGATGTTCATCTCTGTATTCATGTTAAATGTCTCTGTGATGTTCATCTCTGTATTCATGTTAAATGTCTCTGTGATGTTCATCTCTGTATTAATGTTAAATGTCTCTGTGATGTTCATCTCTGTATTAATGTTAAATGTCTCTGTGATGTTCATCTCTGTATTAATGTTAAATGTCTCTGTGATGTTCATCTCTGTATTAATGTTAAATGTCTCTGTGATGTTCATCTCTGGATTAATGTTAAATGTCTCTGTGATGTTCATCTCTGTATTAATGTTAAATGTCTCTGTGATGTTCATCTCTGTATTAATGTTTAATGTCTCTGTGATGTTCATCTCTGTATTAATGTTTAATGTCTCTGTGATGTTCATCTCTGTATTAATGTTAAATGTCTCTGTGATGTTCATCTCTGTATTAATGTTTAATGTCTCTGTGATGTTCATCTCTGTATTCATGTTAAATGTCTCTGTGATGTTCATCTCTGTATTCATGTTAAATGTCTCTGTGATGTTCATCTCTGTATTAATGTTAAATGTCTCTGTGATGTTCATCTCTGGATTAATGTTAAATGTCTCTGTGATGTTCATCTCTGTATTAATGTTAAATGTCTCTGTGATGTTCATCTCTGTATTCATGTTAAATGTATCTGTGATGTTCATCTCTGTATTAATGTTAAATGTCTCTGTGATGTTCATCTCTGTATTAGTGTTAAATGTCTCTGTGATGTTCACCTCTGTATTAATGTTAAATGTCTCTGTGATGTTCATCTCTGTATTCATGTTAAATGTATCTGTGATGTTCATCTCTGTATTAATGTTAAATGTCTCTGTGATGTTTATCTCTGTATTAATGTTTAATGTCTCTGTGATGTTCATCTCTGTATTCATGTTAAATGTCTCTGTGATGTTCATCTCTGTATTCATGTTAAATGTCTCTGTGATGTTCATCTCTGTATTAATGTTAAATGTCTCTGTGATGTTCATCTCTGGATTAATGTTAAATGTCTCTGTGATGTTCATCTCTGTATTAATGTTAAATGTCTCTGTGATGTTCATCTCTGTATTCATGTTAAATGTCTCTGTGATGTTCATCTCTGTATTAATGTTAAATGTCTCTGTGATGTTCATCTCTGTATTAATGTTAAATGTCTCTGTGATGTTCATCTCTGTGTCAATGTTAAATGTCTCTGTGATGTTCATCTCTGTATTAATGTTAAATGTCTCTGTGATGTTCATCTCTGTGATGTTAAATGTCTCTTTGATGTTCATCTCTGTGATGTTAAATGTCTCTGTGATGTTCATCTCTGTATTCATGTTAAATGTCTCTGTGATGTTCATCTCTGTATTCATGTTAAATGTCTCTGTGATGTTCATCTCTGTATTCATGTTAAATGTCTCTGTGATGTTCATCTCTGTATTAATGTTAAATGTCTCTGTGATGTTCATCTCTGTATTAATGTTAAATGTCTCTGTGATGTTCATCTCTGTATTAATGTTAAATGTCTCTGTGATGTTCATCTCTTGATTAATGTTAAATGTCTCTGTGATGTTCATCTCTGTATTAATGTTAAATGTCTCTGTGATGTTCATCTCTGTATTAATGTTAAATGTATATGTGATGTTCATCTCTGTGATGTTAAATGTCTCTGTGATGTTCATCTCTGTATTCATGTTAAATGTCTCTGTGATGTTCATCTCTGTATTCATGTTAAATGTCTCTGTGATGTTCATCTCTGTATTAATGTTAAATGTCTCTGTGATGTTCATCTCTGTATTAATGTTAAATGTCTCTGTGATGTTCATCTCTGGATTAATGTTAAATGTCTCTGTGATGTTCATCTCTGTATTAATGTTAAATGTCTCTGTGATGTTCATCTCTGTATTAATGTTAAATGTATATGTGATGTTCATCTCTGTGATGTTAAATGTCTCTGTGATGTTCATCTCTGTATTCATGTTAAATGTCTCTGTGATGTTCATCTCTGGATTAATGTTAAATGTCTCTGTGATGTTCATCTCTGTATTAATGTTAAATGTCTCTGTGATGTTCATCTCTGTATTAATGTTAAATGTATATGTGATGTTCATCTCTGTATTAATGTTAAATGTCTCTGTGATGTTCATCTCTGTATTAATGTTAAATGTCTCTGTGATGTTCATCTCTCTATTCATGTTAAATGTCTCTGTGATGGTCATCTCTGGATTAATGTTAAATGTCTCTGTGATGTTCATCTCTGTATTAATGTTAAATGTCTCTGTGATGTTCATCTCTGGATTAATGTTAAATGTCTCTGTGATGTTCATCTCTGTATTAATGTTAAATGTCTCTGTGATGTTCATCTCTGTATTCATGTTAAATGTCTCTGTGATGTTCATCTCTGTATTAATGTTAAATGTCTCTGTGATGTTCATCTCTGTATTAATGTTAAATGTCTCTGTGATGTTCATCTCTGGATTAATGTTAAATGTCTCTGTGATGTTCATCTCTGTATTAATGTTAAATGTCTCTGTGATGTTCATCTCTGTATTAATGTTAAATGTATATGTGATCATCTCTGTGATGTTGAATGTCTCTGTGATGTTCATCTCTGTATTAATGTTAAATGTCTCTGTGATGTTCATCTCTGTATTCATGTTAAATGTCTCTGTGATGGTCATCTCTGTATTAATGTTAAATGTCTCTGTGATGTTCATCTCTGTATTAATGTTAAATGTCTCTGTGATGTTCATCTCTGTATTAATGTTAAATGTCTCTGTGATGTTCATCTCTGTATTCATGTTAAATGTCTCTGTGACGTTCATCTCTGGATTAATGTTAAATGTCTCTGTGATGTTCATCTCTGTATTAATGTTAAATGTCTCTGTGATGTTCATCTCTGTATTAATGTTAAATGTATATGTGATGTTCATCTCTGTGATGTTAAATGTCTCTGTGATGTTCATCTCTGTATTAATGTTAAATGTCTCTGTGATGTTCATCTCTCTATTCATGTTAAATGTCTCTGTGATGGTCATCTCTGGATTAATGTTAAATGTCTCTGTGATGTTCATCTCTGTATTAATGTTAAATGTCTCTGTGATGTTCATCTCTGTATTAATGTTAAATGTCTCTGTGATGTCCATCTCTGTATTAATGTTAAATGTCTCTGTGATGTTCATCTCTGTATTAATGTTAAATGTCTCTGTGATGTTCATCTCTGTATTAATGTTAAATGTCTATGTGATGTTCATCTCTGTATTAATGTTAAATGTCTCTGTGATGTTCATCTCTGTATTAATGTTAAATGTCTCTGTGATGTTCATCTCTGTATTAATGTTAAATGTCTCTGTGATGTTCATCTCTGTATTAATGTTAAATGTCTCTGTGATGTTCATCTCTGTATTAATGTTAATGTCTCTGTGATGTTCATCTCTGTATTAATGTTAAATGTCTCTGTGATGTTCATCTCTGTATTCATGTTAAATGTCTCTGTGATGTTCATCTCTGTATTAATGTTAAATGTCTCTGTGATGTTCATCTCTGTATTAATGTTAAATGTATTTGTGATGTTCATCTCTGTATTAATGTTTAATGTCTCTGTGATGTTCATCTCTGTATTACTAGCTAACATTGTCATATGTAATGTTGTCTCCGGCAGGAGCATCCTAATACTTTTAAATATCAAATAAATTAAATCAATCAATCTATATCTGATGTGATCTAATCCGTCTGTATAATATTATCCTAGTTGGTTTCCCACTGGTGACGAGGAGGAAGTGGAGGACCAACCCATCCTTGTGTGGTCTGTGGAGTCTGGATCTGACGTTAGGGTGAGTGACATATTTTATTTATGTTTATCTAAAAATATTAATCTTACTTGTATTGAAATCAGTTGAGGATTGTGCACATGATTGATATTGTGACTGTTTTTTTACATTTATTTTCTAACACACTGGCCCATTATTTTCCTTGAGGCCCCAACCCCCCCCCCCCCCCCCCCCCCCCCCCCCCCAAAAAAAAAAAAGGTTATTCTGTTCAAAAAACCCAATTTAGACCGGCCCACTGATCTTAAAGATGGGACCAGCCCATCCGGCCCCGAGCTGTCCTAAGGCCAGTCAGTTTCTGGTTAACAGTGACTCTATGGGGACAGCTACGTCAGGAGAGTCTTACAAATAAGGTGTGTTGTCCTTCATTGGTCGTGTTTGTCCTGTCTCCTAAATCTGTTTGTTTCTGTCGCCCCTCTCTAGGTGAAGCTGTAGCAGTGCAGCTGTATAATGCAGGAAGCTGTGTGGGTGTGGCTGTGTGATTTCACGCTGGGCTGGACTGTTCCTCTTGTCAGACATATTCCAATATTCCACTTTTATGTTTGAAACTTCCCCCCAACAACTACTGTTTAAACTGTATTCATGCAATAACTCAATGAATGCACAAATCTAATAATTGTCAACAAAGGGGCTAAAATGAAATAAAAAATGTTTAGGTAATAAAAACGTAGAATGAAACAACTGTGTGAACTGTAAAACAGTATTTCTTTTTATGGGTATTGCAATATGAATATTAGACAACCAATCACATTGCTGTGCGCTACCACAATTTGAAGAATTGCTCTGGCTAGCCAATAAACAGACTGTATTCCCACCAAGAATTGACCAATCAGAAAAAGCTAGGGTTGCCCCACTGGCAGTGGGATAGTATTTGAATGCTCCATTGTATAAACCATTCCATGTTTCCTGTGTGCATATTTCATATTCATGTTGGGTCCACTGATTTCAAACAATTAGAGAATAGTTGTCCTTGTCACTTCGTCCTCAAATTCTGTGTCTTTAATTATTTCCTGGATTTACAATCAAAACAATTTAGCTAACATTACGGTTTCGATGTAAACCTGATCTTAAATTAATAGATTCAACTCTTTCTCTTTGGGATGAGTGGATTGACAAAAATATAGGTTTTTATATCAGAATTTATGGTATGGATGACGATGACAGTTGTACATGGTGAGGAGCTAGGATAGTCAGAAGTCAGATGGCTTTCTCCTGTCAGATTTTCACGGTAAGGAGTAAGCGTGTAGTGTGTGTCTGTTGTTGTCTAAAGGAGTAGTGTGTGTCTGTTGTTGTCTAAAGGAGTAGTGTGTGTCTGTTGTTGTCTAAAGGAGTAGTGTGTGTCTGTTGTTGTCTAAAGGGGTAGTATGTGTCTGTTGTTGTCTAAAGGAGTAGTGTGTGTCTGTTGTTGTCTAAAGGAGTAGTATGTGTCTGTTGTTGTCTAAAGGAGTAGTGTGTGTCTGTTGTTGTCTAAAGGAGTAGTATGTGTGTTGTTGTCTAAAGGAGTAGTGTGTGTCTGTTGTTGTCTAAAGGAGTAGTGTGTGTCTGTTGTTGTCTAAAGGAGTAGTGTGTGTCTGTTGTTGTCTAAAGGAGTAGTGTGTGTCTGTTGTTGTCTAAAGGAGTAGTGTGAGTCTGTTGTTGTCTAAAGGAGTAGTGTGTGTCTGTTGTTGTCTAAAGGAGTAGTGTGTGTCTGTTGTTGTCTAATGGAGTAGTGTGTGTCTGTTGTTGTCTAAAGGAGTAGTGTGTGTCTGTTGTTGTCTAAAGGAGTAGTGTGTGTCTGTTGTTGTCTAAAGGAGTAGTGTGTGTCTGTTGTTGTCTAAAGTTGTAGTGTGTGTCTGTTGTTGTCTGAAGGAGTAGTGTGTGTCTGTTGTTGTCTAAAGGAGTAGTGTGTGTCTGTTGTTGTCTAAAGGAGTAGTGTGTGTCTGTTGTTGTCTGAAGGAGTAGTGTGTGTCTGTTGTTGTCTAAAGGAGTAGTATGTGTCTGTTGTTGTCTAAAGGAGTAGTGTGTGTCTGTTGTTGTCTAAAGGAGTAGTGTGTGTCTGTTGTTGTCCAAAGGAGTAGTGTGTGTCTGTTGTTGTCTAAAGAGTAGTGTGTGTCTGTTTGTTGTCTAAAGGAGTAGTGTGTGTCTGTTGTTGTCTGAAGGAGTAGTGTGTGTCTGTTGTTGTCTAAAGGAGTAGTGGTGTGTCTGTTGTTGTCTAAAGGAGTAGTGTGTGTCTGTTGTTGTCTAAAGGAGTAGTTGTGTGGTCTGTTGTTGTCTGAAGGAGTAGTGTGTGTCTGTTGTTGTCTAAAGGAGTAGTGTGTGTCTGTTGTTGTCTAAAGGAGTAGTGTGTCTGTTGTTGTCTGAAGGAGTAGTGTGTGTCTGTTGTTGTCTAAAGGAGTAGTGTGTGTCTGTTGTTGTCTAAAGGAGTAGTGTGTGTCTGTTGTTGTCTAAAGGAGTAGTGTGTGTCTGTTGTTGTCTAAAGGAGTAGTGTGTCTGTTGTTGTCTGAAGGAGTAGTGTGTGTCTGTTGTTGTCCAAAGGAGTAGTGTGTCTGTTGTTGTCTGAAGGAGTAGTGTGTGTCTGTTGTTGTCCAAAGGAGTAGTGTGTCTGTTGTTGTCTGAAGGAGTAGTGTGAGTCTTGTAAAGTGAGATGTTCTTTAATATATAGGGAGATTTAAGTTAATACATTTTATAATGTAGGGGGGTGTAGGGGGTGGGTATGATCGCTTAATGGTGAGGGGATATGATGCTCGTAATGTGTTGGGGCGTGAAGCTCGTAATGGTGAGGGGTGTGATGCTCGTAATGTGTTGGGGCGTGAAGCTCGTAATGGTGAGGAGATGTGATGCTCATGATGTGTTGGGGCGCGAAGCTCGTAATGTGTTGGGGCGTGAAGATCATGATGTGTTGGGACGTGAAGCTCATGATGTGTTGGGGCGTGAAGCTCATGATGTGTTGGGGCGTGAAGCTCGTAATGTGTTGGGGCGTGAAGCTCGTAATGGTGAGGGGATGTGATGCTCATGATGTGTTGGGGCGTGATGCTCATAATGGTGAGGGGATGTGATGCTCATGATGTGTTGGGGCGTGATGCTCGTCATGGCGTTGGGGCGTGATGCTTGTGATGGTTTCAGTGGGCGTATAATCACTTCTTAATCTCCACTGATGCGTATCAAAGCAGTGTAGTGGAGGTATATGCTGTATCAGTTATGTAGTACAATAGAGAAATCCTTCACAAAGTACCCAACACAAACACAAAGCACGTGAAATATTTTCAGATAGATGATATTCTGCTGAACCTGGGCTGTCAGGCAGCTGGTTGTGGAGCAGCTCACAGAAGAACGACATCAGTAACGCAAAGTGTTTCCCCCAACAACAAATAAAAACAACTGGCAATAATTGATATTAACTGAAAAATGATCTTATGTCGTTTCTGTGACTTTAAAGAATATTTATCTCAAAATTGTGATTCCTAAAAGATGTGTCCGGAGATTTGGTCAACTCTATCAGATTTGTCTAAAATCCTAAATGAATCAGGAATGAGCAGGGTCAGCTATACCATAAGGACCCTTTATTAATGTCCTCATTACATGTAGTGCAACAAGGCCACTCATGATCTGGAAAGTTCTCTACTGTTGATAGATTTAAACATATTGAAATCACCATGGTCACAACCATAAACTGTCAACTCCACCTGCCTGATAGAATGTTAATTTTGGTTCTAATATGTTCCGTTTAATTCGGTTTTAGAGTCATAAAGCAACTGAGGAGAAATTATAATAGAGCCCTTTTGTGGGGAAAAACTCATTTTGATTGGCTGGGCCTGGCTCCCAAGTGGGTGGGCCTGGCTCCCCAGTGGGCAGGTCTGGCTCCCAAGTGGGTGGGCCTGGCTCCCCAGTGGGAGGACCTGGCTCCCAAGTGGGTGGGCCTGGCTCCCCAGTGGGTGGGCCTGGCTCCCAAGTGGGCGGGTCTGGCTCCCCAGTGGGTGGGCCTGGCTCCCCAGTGGGCGGGTCTGGCTCCCCAGTGGGAGGACCTGGCTCCCCAGTGGGCGGGTCTGGTTCCCCAGTGGGCGGGCCTGGCTCCCCAGTGGTGTGCCCTTGCCCAGTGATGTGAAATTCATAGATTAGGGCCTAATTAATTTCTTTCAATTGAATGATTTCCTTCTATGAACTTTAACTCAGTACAATCTTTGAAGTTGTTCCATGTCGTTTATTTTAGTTCAGTATACATCCAATTTAAAAGTTTCCGGACTTGTCTACGTGCTGCTGTGCAGACATGGGAAAAAAATCCCCCTGTGATGCTTGATCAGACCCATCAACAGAGGTAACATCATGATCAGACCCATCAACAGAGGTAACATCATGATCAGACCCATCAACAGAGGTAACATCATGATCCATCAACAGAGGTAACATCATGATCAGACCCATCAACAGAGGTAACATCATGATCAGACCCATCAACAGAGGTAACATCATGATCAGACCCATCAACAGATGGTAACATCATGATCAGACCTATCAACAGAGGTAACATCATGATCCATCAACAGAGGTAACATCATGATCAGACCCATCAACAGAGGTAACATCATGATCAGACCCATCAACAGAGGTAACATCATGATCAGACCCATCAACAGAGGTAACATCATGATCCATCAACAGAGGTAACATCATGATCCATCAACAGAGGTAACATCATGATCAGACCCATCAACAGAGGTAACATCATGATCAGACCCATCAACAGAGGTAACATCATGATCCATCAACAGAGGTAACATTGGCGCTCGTTGCAAAACGGTGGTTTCTCAGCTCTGTTATCTCTCTCTGAGCCGTTGTGTTCCGCCCTCGTTGCTCCGCCCTCAACTTCCGGACTTGTATGTTGTGTTTGTTGCTGCTTGGCTATCTGCCAAACGTTTTGGGGTTTTACTTTTAATACATTTACCAACCAACCTTTTTACCCCGGACCCTTTATCTGGACATGGTTCTACAGGACCCTTTATCTGGACATGGTTCTACAGGACCCTTTATCTGGACATGGTTCTACAGGACCCTTTATCTGGACATGGTTCTACAGGACCTCCACCAGCCGAAAAAGCTAAGTAGTAACATTAACACTATGCCATCACTATCACCTTATGGTGAGGATAGCCGTGTTGCAAGCACAGCTTCAGATGCAATCGTTAGGCATGGGCAATTTAAGTGTAGGAAAGGATGAAACAGCGTCTGTGCCACCAGTAAGTACAGATAGTAGTATAAATCCCCACGCACAGTCCCCGCAGCCGGACAATTTTCTCAAGGCTTCTGGAAAGAAATGTTGTCGGCATGCTCAACCGGTGTCGCTCATTCAGCCGACAGAAACTTTCATCCGGTTCTCCCCATTAAGCAACGAGTCGGGGTCAGAGGCAGAGCCTTCTCAGGTCTCTTCTCCACCCGTTACGGGGTCTGAGCCGCCGAAGCCTTCCACCATTAGCTCTGACAAATTGAAAACCCTAGTCATTGGCGATTTCATTACCTGCAATATTAGACTTAAAAAGAATCATCCAGTGATCATACACTGTTTACCAGGGGGCAGGGCTACCGACGTTAAGGCTAATCTAAAGATGGTGCTGGCTAAAGCTAAAACTGGCGAGTGTAGAGAGTATAGAGATATTGTTATCCACGTCGGCACCAACGATGTTTGGATGAAACAGTCAGAGGTCACCA